GTCGAATTGAGCGGCTCGATAAGACAAATCCAACGAGCCTAAGATCAATCCATTCTAACATCATTAAGACATTTAAATACTTGATGAAAGTTTAATGATCAAAGGAATCACTATGAGCCATATGATAGAACACTCCAAATTTACCTTGGATCTTCTCCAAATATTCAATTTTTACACGCTTCCTCTTCTTCAACAGTGAAGAAGGGAAGATCTTTTTATCACTTAGTACATAGTGGATTTCGTAACTAGGCTAGACTTCATTATTTTTTCCTTTTCTGGGTTTTCTACATAAAAAAAGTTCTATGGTCTTACAAATTTTATATATTAGTAGTGAATCTTTGTACACCACTGAGACGTGAAGAATACACTCTACTTACTCAAAAATCTTTTTTTTGCACGCAACATGCTCGTTTAAAAATATTAATATAAACTATAATTAAAATATATTAGCATTCAGGATTTTATGCACAAAATTGTTAAAAATATTTAAAAAATATATCTCACTTACTTATGATAAGTGATCATTCGTTAATTTTCTTTTAATTTCTCTTTTTTTTTTCATTTTATTCTAATAATTACTTAAATCATAACCATATTCTTTCTTTCATAATAAATGAGCTAGCTCGAACTCATAAAATAAAGCCTGAGCTCATGCTCTAACTTGATTAATTAATGAAGCTTAAGCCTAAGCGAGGAGTTACTCGAGCTTAACTAAACATGTTTACACTTATCTTTATGCTGTGGGCTTATTTGTGAACGTATAAAGCTTTTAAATTTAGAGGAGCAAGGGCTCTAAAAACTCATCTTGAGAGCTTTGGCTACCAACCAAAGGGTCCTGGGTTCAGAGCTTGCGTATGAGATATGCGTGTGAGTTTGCCTTAATTAGCCTAAATGTCCCAAAAAAGGGACTCTAAATGCAATTGGTATATTTTATTGAACTTAATTAAACACTACAGGAAACAACTGAAATTTTTCAGGGGAACTTCCGGTGGAAAATATTTGTCGGGATTTCCGGTGACTTTATTGGAAGGATATTCTTTGGAATTCACTAACAAACTAATCACCTGTAATTCTGCCAGAAATTCTGGGGGAACCTTTTTGTCGACATTTCCACCACTTCTTTATATGCACGACAACTTTATTGACAAAAATTTAATTGGAAAATTCACTTAAAGACCAACGTATTATTCCACCAAAAAAGCCAACGATTAAAGCTCTATTTTGTCTTGCCAACTGCTCCCACTCCAAAACCCGCTCTTTCTACAAATTATGATGTAATAATCTAAGGTAAAAGTGGAACTGTACTCATATATTAAAGAGAATCAGAACAGAAACAATCAACAACTAGATCCTGTGTGTTCAGTCTAAGTCTGGAGATGATTAGATATTTGAATGTTATAATTTGACCTTCGAGTTTGATTTTTGACGGTGATAGACAATTTAAATTTCATGTTTAAACTTTATGTTTTAAACTTCATGTTTGGTGATAGACAATTTATACTTGAATGATACACAATTTAGATTTATGTTTTTAATTTGTATTATGTTTAAAATTTGAATGTTGTATTTGTTATGTATGGAATCTGGTTGTGTTCATCAAAGCTACAAGTTTGAGCATCATAACACCATCAAATAAAGGCTTGAGTGCCCTAGTGCCCCCAAACTAATGCAACAACATTGCAAGAAGGACTGGACGATTTTCTTTCTCGTTTTTTGTTTGGTCATGTCCCTTGAGGTTATTTACTTAGCTTCCTCTTATATTTCTGGTAAAGTAGACATTGAGAATGGTGCATGTGATAAGAGAAGCAAGGAGAGAGTGGGAAAAAGGAGAGAGATGTACTTTTTTCTCCCCATTTTTATAATGGATTTCTTGGTGTGGTTTGTTATGTGGGGGTTTTTCCCAATTTTGAGTTTTTCCATGTTAAAGAGTGGTGTCCTTTATTTATTATGCTGCTTTTACTTTCGTGCTTGTTTCGTCATTGTAGTGTTTACTCCTCATCCCCAACAATATTTTTATATTTGTATTTTGTTTTCGTAAAGTATTGTGAATGATACTTTACTGAGTTGTGAATCATCAACTTTAAATGGGCTGCAATTTTTTTTTTTTCAAATGCTACAGGTTTTCAGCGACAATTCCGTTGGCAAACTTCCGCCATAAAAGCTGCTTCTAGTTTGCCAGAAATTTTTTTAAATTTAGGCGGTCTTCTCACCACAGTTAATGTTGTTGAATTACGATGATTTTAACAGGACAAATCCGCTGGGTATTATGAATGATACATTATTGAGTTGTGAATCATCAACTTTAAATGAGCTATAATTTTTTTTTTCAAATGCTACAGATTTTCAGCGGCAATTCCGTTAGTGAACTTCCGCCATAAAAGCTACTTTTAGTTTGCCAGAATTTTTTTTAAGTTTAGGCGGTCTTCTCACCACAGTTAATGTCGTTGAATTACGATGGTTTTAACAGGACAAATCCGCTGGATAGCCGTCAGAAGACTGTTGGTAAAGTTTCCATCGGATTTTAATTCGCTGGATTTAACTTTCCTGTGCAACTTTTATCGATGGAATATTTTTCGTTAGAAAACCACCAAAAATTGATAATTTTTAGGTAGAAGTGGCTGCCGAAAATTACGTTTTTTTCTTGTGGTGAAAAATTAATACCATTTATAAAAAATATTATTGCATATACTACTTATAAATGATATTAGGCCATGAATACAATTCAAAAATTGCCTTGAAGACACATGTGAATCATCTTGAAAATGGACAAACGGGCCAATAATACCGTTCTTAATAAATCGAAATTTGGCTTATCTATCTCATAGTATACTTAATTAATAGAATTTATATATTATTCTCATATTTGGACATTAATCCATCATTGTCCAATCGAACACCAATCACACACTAGAGATGAACTTCGATACAATAAAGTGCAATAAAAAACAAACACATAGCAAAATTGTACTTTAATATAGTGAAGTGCAATCGCACGTTATAATTGACCTTTGTTATAACATAATTTAATATCTATCATTTATAGAACAAATGAATAAACACAATGAATTAAACGCGCATCATTTACAAATTTAAATGAATAGATAAAAATAAATTAAATGTATATCTTCGCATGTTATGTCATCTACCTATGAACATATGGATCTATAGATGAGCATTATTGTAAAATAAAATTGCACATAACTATGTTCTATAAAATAATGTACAATCTAATGTAACTTATATTTCTTTTAAAGAAAGTCAGATGATCTGCTATTTTACATACACTTCATAATCTCTATGTTAATACAAAATAAATCATTTATCAATCTATTACTAGAAGAACTATATAATTTTTGTTAAAACTTCAAATGACATACCTCATGATAGCCTTGGGTGTAACTAATTGAACCAAGCCAAGCCAAGCACAATCATACTAAACTTGTCTAAACTCTTCGTGTGATTGATGGACCTCCTTCCCACTTTTGAACTTCACTTCGGCTTCGTTTGGGACGACTTTCTTCCTTCTTCTTAAAACAGCTTTGTAGTACAGAAAATAAAATTTTTATACAAGAAGCTATTTTAAGAAGCAATGAAAAAATAGTCCCAAATGAAGCCATCATCTCCAATAATATACATTTACATTAATTATGTCCACTTGAATTTTTTTTTTTCCTCTTCAACTCATTATATGCAAAGATCACTGCTTTGCACTATTAATCGAATAATTCATTAAGATAATAATATTTGATCCATATATATATATATATATAAGTAACATAGTATTCTTCCCCTAATCAAGTATTATAAACCATTTATATTTTGCCAAAAAATAAAAACCCCAAGCAATCCAATACAATCACATGGTCAAAAGTTTATTGACATACTAAAATAATAGTTATCTTGTTATCAACCTGAATAAGTGTATTTAATAGAAAAATCAAACCGTTTTTTTTTTGCTCACTTCCATCTTCCTTTCTTTTGATTTGTCTTCCTAAACACCTTAACAAAAAGAAAACTACTCAAATCATGTTTGAATTTAAATCGCTGGAAACATGTTCGAGCTATACTCAAATCTTATTTGAATCACACTCGAATTGTGATCGAACTAGATTCATTTACGATTTGAGCATGGTTCAAACATGAATTGAACATGACTGTAGCATGTAAAATGATGTTTAATGAGGTTTGGGGATTATAGTTTAATATGCGAATAATGTTCGAGATTCAAAACCCTTTTATAATTTCATTTATTTCTTGTAATACAGTCGACAACGTTTGGTGATGAATATACTGAAACATAACTAATCAAATGCATAACAATAGTAAACTTGAGCGGATCATAATTGGAAAGTCGGGAACGCCATTGTGAAATTTTATCATTGACCAGAACTAAAGCTGTGAGATCGTAGAGTTAAAGAAATTATTTGAAAGATGTAATATTGCATAGCTTACTTGTTATAAGATTTATGTGATTAGGGACTTAGGATTCTTATTAACTTTTTTATAGCTGGGATAGTTTAATATGAAAATTTTGAGTATATTATTTACATGAAATATTATCCATACAAATTGTTGGAAAATTTTCGAAAAAATATCTACAAATCAGGGGCAATTTTTCCACCGAGAGATTATTACGTGTGGTGTCCTAGTATAAGATGCGTCTGAATTTTATGATGGTATATAACAAATTCATAATAAATACAAAATTTTATATAAAAATGTATGTCCTTTCTAATTCGGACGTACTCACTGTCTTTTTTCTGAGAAATTATTAAGTGTGAAGTCTGGATATAGAGTTGCGTCCGGACTTTGCATATTTACTAAGTATTTGTTGAATATTTATTAAGTATTTTTACTAAGTTTTATTACATATTGAAAATACATAGTAAATAAATAATAAATATTTAATAAATACATAATAATATAAAAAATTATATTTTGAACACTTTTAATATTTGATTGGAGTCTGAACTCAACTCTATTAGTCTATTCCTTGATCTAAGTAATAATTTCCCCTTTTTTCGGTGGTGACGAGTCGCTGTCCTTCCGTATCGAGATATTTTCCCATCCCATACAGGAGATGCCGCTTCGCCGACGAGCCTCTTCCAACCAAACAACTCGGTAGTTCTTTTCCTTTCCTGATGTCCATTTCGATCAACAACAATGAAACTCCTTCAGTTGCCCGTCCATCTCTTCGCAAACGACGGATATCTGGGGTGGCGGCACCGGAGGCCACCGTGGAACAGGACGGTTTGGAAAAGATAAAGCTAGCAACTACTGATGAGTCGGACATGGTTACGGACTCCGCAGGCGAGGACACGAGCTCCGATGTTGATGCTGGGTATGTAGTTGGCAAACGGAAGGGTGTGGAAGAGGGGAAGAAGGGTGAAAGTGTGGTGAAAGGTGAGGAGGGAGATGATAAGTCTGGGAAAGGAGATGGACCTTTGCCGGCTAAGTACGTCTATAGGGCTTCGGCTCCGGCGCATAATAGAGTGAAGGAGAGTCCGTTGAGTTCGGCTGCTATTTTTAAGCAGGTAAATGGTGGCATTTGTGTAAAGTTTTTTTTTTTTTTTTGTTTGATTTGACGATGTTGATGGATTGCGTCATTGAAGCAGTTTTCTCTTGTAGTTGTCAATTTTTGTTCCATGCTTCTCTTTATATTCTAGTTCATATGCATTGGCGTAAATGGCGGTCATCATTGGCATCCTCGTTCTTCAAGGGGCAAAAAACCCCTCTTTGATTACTGTGGAGATTATTAAGGAAATAAATCCTTGCAAGCTGTAGAATATCTTCCTTTTTTTCAATATATTTAGTATTTTACATAGGTTGAAATCATGAATTGTATCATATAATTCTGCTATCTAAATAGAGGGGCAAGACCACCATTGAAATACTCACAAAGTTTAAATTATTTAGCCTCTTTTCATGATATTAGAGCGCTAGGAGCAAAGAGCCCTTAATTTTTTTTCTATGATTTTCCGTTAGTCCAAATTCTCTATGCAACCTATGGTTCCCAGCCATAGCAAGACATCTACTCCAATGAGAGGAAATAATTTTTTCTTCTGAAGGAAAATATCTTCCATATCGTAAGATGTTGACCAATCAAATAGTCTAATTTAAACCATTTAAGGTGATTACTAACTTTCTATCTTCATTCATATTGAATGAAGAAATCATATTTTGTCCCAAATTATGAAATTTTTCCTTAAAGGAAAGGGAAAAATTTTGCCACCCTATTGGTCCCATATTAAGTGAAGATGATCTCGGCTTTTGCATATGGGATCAAGAATATTTCTTGATTATATCTTGGTTATGTAATTCAATAATAACAAAATTCAACGGAACCTACATGTTCCTAACCACAACCAAGGATATCTGAGACATGATCAAGCAAATGTTTTCCAAGGTCTATGATGGCAACTTAATTTATGAGATTAACACAAACAATCACTAAACCAAGCAAGGTAGGATTTCAATTATCAAATACTATAACAAACTGAATTTTTTTTGCTCAAACTCAATCACTATATGTGTTTCAAAGTTAGATGCAGTGACGATGTTGTAATTCTACTACCTTTTTTAAAAGATGAAATAATTTATGAATTCTTAGCTGGACTAAATGTTGAATATGATCAAATCTACATTCAAATATTTAGAAAAACACCCCTTTCCAACCTAAAAGAAGTCTTCTTAACCATCATATATGAAGAAAGGAGATGCAGTGTAATGTTAGGAACGCCACCGGTTGGTGAAATGCTGCCTTACTTGATGTTCCTACACCAAATATAGTAGAGTTGAGCCATGCAAACATAAATTGGGTCCACCAAGGTCCAATAATCATGAATCTATGTTTTGCAACTATTGTAAGAAAATAGTACATATAAAGATAGTTGCTAGGAATTCCAAGAGAAGCCACCATAGAAAAAAACAAGCCTCAATATCAAAACTAGTCCATACATTATCAAGCAAATAATGTATCCTTGGAAGAGAAGATTTACATAAACATAGAAGGACTGAAGAGAAAATAAATAGAGGAACTGATGTGAAACAATGTGATGAAACAAGAATTGCTTATTCAAAATTAATAAAAATATGCCGTTGCTTGACTAACATAAACAAATGCATTATCAAGTTAGATCTTTAGAAAATTCGAAGGGAGAACTAAGTAATTTCTTAACGGCCCCTTGCGGGAACCGCTCCGGACGAATCCGAACCATTACAAAGTCTCCCACTTCAAATTCTTTAAATCGTTTCTTGAGGCCCGCAGTACGTTTATAGTTGGCATTGCTTTGTTCAACCTTTTTATTAATTTCCTAATGCAATTTTTGTAGATGTGATGCAAATGCAGATGCTGACTCAAATGCTCTAGACTTATGACCCATGGGGATTAAATCTATTGGCTGTCTAGGTTGATATTCGTACACAATTTGAGCTGGACTCAGACTTGTGGTGCGGTTAACGAAATTGTTATAAGCAAACTCGACAATAGGTAATTTAGAATCCCAATCTCTAATGTGTTCACCCACCAATGTCCTAAGGAGGTTGCCCAGACTCCTGTTTACAACTTCTGTCTGACCATCCGTCTGAGGGTGGAAAGCAGTGGAGAATTGAAGTTTAGTGACCATTTTGAACCATAATGTCTTCCAAAAATAGCTAGTGAATTTAACGTCTCGATCCGACACAATGATTTTAGGTAACCCATGAAGTCTGACAATTTCATCAAAATATAACTTGGCGATCCTAGAAGCATCAAACGTTTTCGAGCAAGGGATGAAGTGTGCCATCTTGGAAAACCTATCCACAACCACACATATGGAGTCATGTTTTCTAACAGTCTTGGGTAGACCGAGGACGAAATCCATACTCACATCTTGCCAGGGACAATTGGGTACAGGGAGTGGTGTATAAAGGCCTGTGTTTTGTTTTCTTTTTTTTGGCCAATTGATAGGTGTGACACTGTTTCACTAATCTGTTAACGTCCCACTTAAAACTCGGCCAATAAAATCGATTTTTAACGGCAGCGATTGTCTTGGTTTGATCGAAGTGCACATCTAAACCACCAACATGTAGTTCCCAAACAAGAAATTCACGGAGTGAGGTATTGGGAATACAGAGTTTCTGGGATTTAAACAAATATCCGTCTTCCACCAGGAAATCATCAATGATCCGATCTTTTCCAGTTATCAGAAGTACATATGTTTCTTTAAAATCATGACAATCCTTATAATCTTCTTTAATGCGCGCAAATACAATAACTTCAGTCCTCATCTCACGAGTAACCATCATCCTACGGCTTAAAGTGTCTGCTGCTTTATTTTCGGATCCTGCTTTATGTCTTATTGTGTAGGTATATTCTTGCAGGAATTCAACCCATCTTCCGTGTTGGGCATTAAGCTTCTTCTGAGAGTTAATGTACCGTAATGCTTCATGATCTGAAAAGATAACAAATTCGTGTGGAAGAAGATAATGTCTCCAATATCTAAGGTATTGAATGATCGTGTAAAACTCTTTATCGTAGGTCGAGTATGGTTGCCTGATATCATTTAGCTTCTCACTAAAATAGACAACAGGGTGTCCCTCTTGCGACAAAACTCCTCCTATACCAATTCCAGATGCGTCACAGGTTACGTCGAAGACTTTAGAAAAATCCGGAAGACGCATAACTGGTGTCTCGACCATTTTCCTTTTGATCTCCTCAAAAGCTTTAGTGGCAGATAAAGCCCAAAGGAATTCTACCTTCTTGAGGCAGTCGGTTATGGGTGCCACTATCATGCTGAAATATCTAATAAACCTTCGATAAAAGGTGGCCAATTCATGAAAGCTCCGAACATCTCTGACATTTTTTGGTTCATACCACTCGTTATATAATCGCTCTAACTTTCTTGGGGTCAGCAGATATTCCTTGAGAGGATATGATAAATCCGAGAAAAGTGACACGATCTGTGAGGAACATACACTTCTTTGGGTTTGCATACAATTGTTCTTTCCTTAAAACTTCACAGGCTTGCTTCAGATGATTTAAGTGAAGATCCACCGAGCTACTATAGATTAAGATATCATCAAAATAGACTACGATGAATTTTCTTAAGAAAGGTCGAAGGACCTGGGTCATAACTCGCATGAAAGTGCTAGGGGCATTATTAAGACCAAACGACATAACCATCTATTCGTACAACCCATCTTTAGTTTTAAATGCTGTTTTCCATTCGTCCCCGGGGCGGATTCCGCTTTTAAGACCGATCTTAGAAAAGAGAGTCACTCCGGTCATCATGTCCAACATGTAATCCAAGCGTGGAATGGGGAAATGATACTTTACAGTAATCTTGTTGATATCGCGATTATCAACACACATCCTCCAGGAGCCATTTTTTTTGGAGTTAGAAGTGCGGGGATAGCACACGAGCTTAAGCTTTCTTTGATAAATCCCCTTTGGAGCAGATCATCAACTTGTTCTTTTAACTTGGCATGCTCGCCCGGGTTCATACGGTAGTGGGGAAGGTTGGGTAGTGATGCTCCGGGTACTAGGTCTATAGCGTGCTGGATGTCTCGCGGAGGAGGTAATTGGATTGGAAGGTCCTCGGGGAAAACATCGGCAAAGGTCTCAAGGAGTGGTTGGACCTCTTCCGGGATGGGCTCTCCTACATTCTCAGTTGTTTCACGGGCCACTAGAGCGTACATGGGGGCTCCTTGGTTAAACTCAACCTCTACTTCCTTCGCAGTCAAAAGGTGTAATCCTTTGTTTGGTTTGACAGGAGTGGGTTTGACTTCCATCTTATGGGGTTTGGTTGGGAGGGTATAAGCTTAATTTTCTTGCCATTATGCTCAAACATGCATGTGTTTGTTCTCCCATAAATATGGACATTGTTGTCGAATAACCTCATCCATAATCAACACATCGCACCAAATTTTCTCTTGATATCCAACAAACGCTATGGGAATAAGGCTCCTATCCTTAATTTCGATGGTAGTCGAGTTAATCCAAGCGACCTTATGTGGGTTAGGGTGGGGTGTCATCTTTAAGTTAAGTTTGGATATCATCGCTGAAGAGATTGCATTGATACAACTTCCACTGTTGATAATAACTTTGCAGTTCTTGTCTCTTATCTTAGTAAAGGTGCGAAAAATTGAAGTCCTTCGCCAATCGTTACTGGGTTTAGGTTGGGACAAAGCACATCAATGATTTGCAGATCAACAGGGTTTTCTTCGTAGAAGAAGTCTTCTTCATCGTCAACATTAGGGTGTCAATTTTGGGCCACGGGTCGGGTTCGGGTCGACCCCGAAACTGACCCGACACTATTCGGGTCAACCCGAACCCGACCCGTTTTTAAAACCGGGTCAGTTTCCTGGACCTGAACCCGAGCCGCTTCGGGTTCGGGTCAACCCTACCCTACCCTACCCGAATGACCCGTTTTTTAACAAAAAAATTGCTAATTTTCGGGTAAAAACGTGTCAATCTCCTCTTTTCGGTTCAAAACATGGTCAAAATCGGGTTGCCGGGTCAAAATCGGGTCAATCTCGGGTTGCCGGGTCAAAA